AAAAAAAAAGAAAGGAAACAGTTATGTCATCTTATGAAATAAAATTTTTGTTTTATTCTCTCATTCTGTGCTTTGGTCTCAATTAACCACTTGTTTTCTGTCATGACACATGAGAATGTTGAATGAGTTAATGCCTTTTGCATCTAGTTTCTTAGACTCACTGCAGTGATTTTCAGGATTTTTATCTTGTTGCATGTACTGTATCACTATTTAATTCTTTTTTATTGTTGAATGATACTCCAGTGTGTGGATAAATCACTTTCCATTGATGGACGTTTAGTTTATTTCAAGTTGCTTACTAAAGTTACTGTTACTAAAGTTACTATGAATATCTATGTAAATCATTAAATTAATATGTTTTTATTTCTTGGTAGAGGAATGGGTGGGTCATATGGCAGCTGTATGTTTATAGTTGTAAGAAACTACTTCCATTTTTCTGAAGTGGTCATGCCATTTTATAGTCCCACCAGCAGTGTGTGAGTCCTGGCTGCTCATGTTCTTCGTAATAATATTTACTATTGTCTTTTTAATTTCACTATTTCAATAGGTTGTAATGGTATGTTTTTGAATTTTCATTTCCTTGATGACTAATGGCTTTGAGTATCTTTTAGTGTGTTTATTGACATTTATGCGTTTTCTTTTGTTAAACACCTGCTTTTTATTAGATTGTCTTATAACTGAGTTGTAATTATGTAGCTGTTTTTTTTTTTTTAATGTATTTAGTACAGGGTCAACAGGGTCTCATACATAGATCAGACTTGTAGTGTTTCTCTTGTTTTCAGCCTTCCAAGCATAGGGATCACAGGTGCACCCCACCACGCCCAGTCGCAATGCCTTTCTCAGCACGCCCTCGGGGCGGGGCTGGCAGGGCACCCTAGGGATCAAACCCTCCTCCCTGTGTCTGCCTAAGCAGGTGCTTTAATCCACTGAGCTATCTGGCCAGCCTTTGTAGCTGTTTTTACTTAAGGTTATTTTGAAATAATAGTAGATTCATATGCATTCAAAAGAGAATTTATGTACCTTTTATCATTTCCTACAGTGATAGCACATTGTGCAACTATAATAGTAGCGCAGTCAGGATGCTGACATTAATATCAGCCTGAGTATGTTCAGATTTCTCCATTTTTACTTGAAGTTTATTTATGTTCATGTGTGGTTGGTTCTGTTAAGTTCTGTCTTGTATAGTTCATGTAGCCATTGTGTCATTTAAAAAACTAGTTCTTTCCTCAGAAAGGTCTCCTTTTTCCCCAGACTCCTCCTTTCTTCTCCTTTACCCCTACAACACTTGTTTCTTCATTCTTTTTTTTTTTTTTTTTTTTATATATCTATGTATTTGGTACAGTGCTTACTATGCAGCTCAGACTTGTGGTGATCCTCCCATTTCTGTCTCCCTAGCGCTGGGATTACAGACATGCACTACCAAGCCTGGTCCTGGCGGATGGTTTGGTGTGCACAGCCCAGGGCCTGTGTGGCATGTAGTAGTGGGGATCAAATCTAGGTCTTTGCACTTGCCTAGGCAGGCGCTTACACCACTGAGCTATCTCTGTGGCCCCTGTTCATTCTGAATTTTTATTATTTCAAGAAAGTTATGTAAGTGAATCATATAGCAGCCTTTTAGGATTGCTGTTTCTCAGTGTACTCAGTTGTGTTTCAATAATTTGTTTCCTTTTATTGCTGAGTCATCCATTTTATTATCCATGGAAGGACATCTGGGTTGTTTCTGTTTTTGCTAATCATAATAAAGCTTGTGTGAATTCTTGTGTTCTGTGCATGTGTGTGTATATATAAAATCTGATTTTCAAGGAAGAATAGTCCATGAATCAATAGTAATTGGGTTGAATAGTATTTTAAGGTTTAATTCTAAAAGAAACTTTGAAATTGCCTAAGTGAATGTAACTGCTTATTTTCCTACTAGTGTCACACAAACAACCCAGTTCGTGTGTCTTTACCACCACTTGACTGTTCTTATTTTGTAATTTTAGTCATTCTGATGTGTGTGTAAATGAAAGCATGCTGTGATTTTAACTCACATTTCTTTAATTAATAATGAAGTTAAGTATATTTTCATGTACTTTTTTTCCATGTGCAAGTTTTTTTGGTTGAAGTGTTTGTTAATGTCTTAATTTGCTAAGGCCACCATAACAAAATAATACAGACTGGGAGGTTTAAATAAGTTGTTTATGTACAGATCTGCAGTCTAGAAATCTAAGACACAGGTTTTGGCAGATACACTTTTTCATGAGGCCTCCTTTCTTGACTGACAGGGAGTATCTTCTCACTGTGTCTCATTCTGTGCAATTTCAGAATGGGAATCCACAGCCTTTCTTCATTTTGTCTCATCTCTTTCCTCTTAGGTCCAGGCTGGCCGTTATCTGCTGATATAATCCCCCTTTTTTCCTGCTTCTGCTGGCATGGCTGATCAAATCTATGAGCTGTACTTATGAATTTTCTAGCCACACTGTTGGTGCTCTCTCCAGAGCACTTTCTAACTTTTTACATCTTACATAGATTGAGAAATTTGTAAATCTCCAAGTTATGAATTCTTTTTCTTATCAATTCTTTGCCTCTCACATTTTACTGTTAATGGCAGAGAAAAACAAGGCTGTTCCTTTAGTGTGTAGCTTAAAAATCTCCTCAGCTAAATATCCAACTAGTTCATCATTTTTAATTTCTATTTTCCGTAAGATATTAGAACGCAACTTAGCCAAGGTCTGTGCTACTTTTTATAGCGAAGATCACTTTTTCTTTCCGATAATGTCCAGCTCATTTCTGAGTATCATCTTTTTTTTTTTTTTTTAATAATTTATGTATATGGTACAGGGTCTCGCTCTGCATCTCAGACTCAAATGATTCTCCTGTCTTAGCCTTCCCAGTCCTGGGATTGCAGGAATGTACCACCATACCAAGGTTCAGTGGGCAACACTGCTTGCCCAGGGTTCCAGAGCCAGCATGGCATGCGGTACTGGGGGATCAAACTCGGGTCGTTGTGCTTGCCAATCAGATGCTTAGACCGCCAAGCTAAAAGAGTTTTGAGAGAAAAGATTCAGAAGATTCCATGCTTATGTCTTTCATTCCATTTCTAATTGAGTTTTTTTTTTTTAATGTTTGGTTTTGGGACTTGTTTTATATTCCAGATACCTGTCCTTTGTCAGATATGTGATCATATTTATTTTCTTTTCAATTATTTTTTATTTTTTAATTCTTTTTTGTATCTTAGGGAAGGGTCTACGGTGTGTTCAGGGTCTCACTAGTAGATTGGACTCATAGTTATCTGCCTGGTTACAGCCTCCCAAGAGCAGAGATTACAGGTGCGTGCCACCTCGCCCAGTCTCAGTTGCTGTTTCAGCACGCCTCAGGGGTGGGCCTGGCACAGCAGGCCCAGGGTTTGAACCCCTGGTCCCTATGCCTGCTTGCAGATGTGTTAATCTGCTGAGCTATTAGGCCAGCCCTTTGTATTTATTTTCTATCTGTATTTTATTTAACAGATTCTCCTAACAGAGTCTTTCATGGGACAAAAATTTTAAATTTTGATAAAATTTAATTTCTCAGTTGTTTTTTTTTTTTTTTTTTTTTAATGAACTGTGCTTTTCGTGTTCATTCTTAAATCTTTGCTTTGGTGTGTAGCTGTTTTTAAAACTGTTCTACCATGTTTAAGGAAAAATTATTAATGATTACAAATTAACAATTTTCTTTATTGGGGAGGGGATGGACTTGTGAATTTACAGAGAGAGAAAGTTCACTTAAAAGAATTTGGTCACAACCCAAAAAATAAGTAAGTAAGTAAATAAATAAATAAACTACTGATAGATAGTTCTTCATTTTTCTCATTTTGCATCTCTTCTGAGCAAAGGAGTTGCTAGTCTTTGTTCTGGATGAGCTTTTAAAGATACTTTATATAACTTGGAAAAGAGAGTTACTGTTTCTTTTTGGTAAGGTTGTCCTACCTGGTAGCATTAACAGCTGCTTGGGTCTTCCAAGCTGGGAATAACAGAAACCCGTTTCACCCTGAGTAAGTCACAGCATCCCACTGATGCCATCAAATGTGTTACGCTGAGTCTCTCTTGTATCTTCATCTTTATTACTGACTGCTCTGCTTCATTATCTCATGCTCTCGTTTAGATGTGAAAATCGCTTGTATTCTCAGAGTTGAGGGAGTCTCAGTGGGAGTTTTCCTTTATATTTATGTTCTCCTGCCATTAGAAGGCTGGGAGAAAAGTGTGATAGTGTGAATGAACTTTAATTGGGGTACTTAACAAAAATTCCTAGGGGTTTGGGGCAGATTAAAATATATTAGTGCTGATTCAGAGATTTTTGTTTTTTCAGGTGATTATATAAAAAAAACTTGAAATGTAGAATCTGTATGCCTATGCTATTGTTTGAATATTAAATGAATATTAACCTTAGGAAAGTTTTATGTTTTTGTTTCCTTGCTGAGCTTCATGATAGCATAGTGCACAGGTATTACAGATTAAAATGAGAAAAGATATTTAATTGTAAATGAGAACGTAGTTACTTAACATTGCTCATTACATTATTTGCAATTCTTATGAAAATGATATATTTAAGTAGCTGTTTTATATAAAACTCCAAGTACAAAATTTTTCCCCTTCTCTTTTGTAATAGGAATGAAGATCTAAAACAAATGTTGGAGAGCAACAAAGATTCTGCTAAATTGGATGCTATGAAACGGATTGTTGGGGTTGGTAAAATACTTAGTTTTTTTTTTTTTTTTTTTTTTTTTTTTGTAAAATGGAAATGTTGTGATTGACAGCTTTAAATAATGTATAACTATCATACCTCTCATTTGCTCTTTAATATTGACTTAGACTATTCCATCTAAAAGTGTGAAGAAGCATTGAAGAATCAAAATTTAAGAAATGTGGGTTGTAGTTTCATCTGTTGTCTATTTTGACTTTTCTGTCTCTAATATTAAGATAATTCTCCTGTGAGATAAAGGGAAGTAATCATTTTGAGGCCAAAGTAAGATGATATACAGCTATAATTTGACTTCATGTCAAAAGAGACATTTCAGGATTATTTTTGTCATTTCATGACTTAAAAGTTGTAAGTACACTTTCTTCTGTTTTTGAAATACTATTAGTATCAAAAACTACTTTTATTCAGTTCAGTAGCCTAAAACTTTAGCAAGTATTGTGAAATGTAGGCGCATTTACTATATTTTATTGTATTGCAAAAATTAAATGGAGATACCTACTTTAAGGTGTTTGTAGATTGAAACACTAATATTAAAACACCAAAGTGGTCTACATAGACTATTAAAATCCCAGTGATACATTTTGCAAAAAAACCCACCAAAAATCCATTCTAAAATTTATATGTAGGGGCCGGGGAGATGGCTCAGTGGAATAAGCGCTTCCCTGGCAAGAGCAAGGGCCTGAGTTCAATCCCCGGTTCTGCAAAAAGAAAATAAATAAATAAATAAATAAATAAAATAAAATAAAATTTATATGTTGTCTCATCGGTTTTTGAATAGCCAAGATAGTCTTGAAAAAGAATAACGTTATAGGTCTCAGAATTCTTGATTTCAAAATTTACTACAAAACTAATAAAAACAGTGGGGTATTGAGATAAAGATAGACAAATGTTCCTAGTTCCAAAAATATTAACAATAGGATTATTCTGTGATCCAGTGACTCCATTGCTAGTATATACGTTGAAGAGTTTAACAGGATCCTCGGACATACATTGATACAAAGTATTCTTAGCAGGGTTATTCAAAATAGCCCAATCCCATATTCACTAATGGGTAAATGGATAAAAAGTGATATAGACACATAATATATTTTAGCCTTATGAAAGAATAAAATTCTGAAAAAAAATGAAATTCTGATATGTTGGAACATGGATGAGCCTTCACACATTATGTTAAATGAAGTCACTAAGACACAACGAACAAGCGTATGGTTCTGTTTAGATACAAACTCAGAGTGGTAGTTGCTAGGAGAAAGATGAAGAATGAAATGAAATGTTTGTCTTTTTAAAATCATTTCAGATGTATATTTTAAATGTTATAACCCTATTAATATAGTTCTTTGGTATGATCTCTGTTTTGTTCGTTCATTTGTTTGCTCACAACTGTAAAAAAAAATTTTTTTTGGCATTGGGGATTTAGCCCAGGGCCTCACTCGTGCTAGGCAAGTGTTTTTGCATTGAATGACATTGCAGGCCTTTCTATTTTATTTTGCCTGTTTGTCTGACTGACCTGGAACTTGCAGTCATCCTCCTGTAGGTTCTCAAGTAGGCAGGCTTTCAGATGAGGCCCACCATACTCCACAGATTTTATTTTTTGTCATGTTCTCATTCTTTAGGTTTTTGGTGTATTTTCGCATGTCAGCACTTTACTTGGGAGGAAAATGTGGATGACATTCTCTCTGGGTCCTTGTCAGTCTGAACAACATGTGACAGTTGATTACTTAGTAGAATTTTTGATTTGGAATATTTTTTACTCTTTTTTTCTTGCTTTTTTATGGTACCGGGGATTGAACTCAGGACCTTGTGCTTGCCAGGCAAGCACTTATTCTACTGAGCTATCTCCCTGGCCCTGTTTTTTTTACTCTTAAATTTGTGTAGGTTTTAGTCTTTCTTTCCTCTGCCTTTAGGGAGCATAAATGTGATTCCAATCAGATTTGTTTTGTTTTTTCATGAGTTGGTTTTTTTTGGGCATGTAAATACTTGCAGTGTTTCAAGGAAAAAAATTTAGCCAAGATGTTCTATTCTGATTTCTATTAATTTCTTATACTGATAAACCCTGTTGTTTTAAATGTTTATTTATCTATTAATTACTTATTTAGTGGTACTGAGAACTGATACCAGAGGCACTGTGGCTTTTTACTGTATCCTTGCCCTCCACCCTTTTTTCTGAGACAGAATCTGCCTTAGCTACTCAAAGGCATCACACCTTTGCGCCTCCTTCTTCAGCCACCAGCTAGCTGGGAGTATCAGTAGACACTGTATTTGTCTTGTGCTAATTTTTTACTTGATCTTAGCCAAAAGACTGGGAAGAGATTTGTGTTAAATTCTTAAATTTGTCTTTTACTTAGACAAATTACCCCCAACAATTTGCTTGTTTTCTTGGCATATCTGTTTCGGATATTTTACATTTTACATTTCTTTGAACTGTCTCTCGCAGTACTGCATTCTCACATGTTCAGATTGGTATTGTTTTTCTGCCCTTTCCTGATTTGGGGGTGATACTTGGTATCTTGTATCTACTTATTGTCTGGGTTGTAAGTAATGGGTAGATGATTGTTTTGTTAAATATTATTTCAACTATCTCACACTATGCAGACATTTTTTATTATTTGAGTAGATTACTTATAATTAAAAATGTCCGCTAATTAGCTGAGCCTAGTGGTGCATGCCACTTGGCAAGACTGAAACAGAAGATTGCAAGTTGGAGTCCATTCTGGGCAACTTAGTGAGAACTTGTCTCAAAAGAAAAAAAATTAAAAGAGAGAGGGGACTGGTGATATAACTCATTGCAAAGGATTCAAGCATTAGTCATACATAAACAAACCAGAAAATGTTGGATTGACTCAGCAGAATAAAAATGACATAGGAATGAATCAAAAGTTGAAGACTGACAGGTGGTTAAGCAAAATTACCTTTGGATTGGAGTATTTCGCTTTTAGATTCTCCTACTCATTTAATAGCTAACTGTTGTCTCTCTCCTTTCTCTTTATCTTCAAATGAACTGACTTCTCTTAGTTTAGACTCAGCTTCTTTAATTCTTTATTGACACTGGTTTTATTATTGTTGTGAACTGCGTTTTCCAGCTGTCTTAGTCACTTAACTCTCATTGCTGAGACAAAATACCTGATACCCAAAGTTAGGGGAGCAAAGATTTATTTACCTCACAGATTATAGAGGTTTCATTCCATAATCAGCTGGCTCTAAGGTAGAGGGGCAGCATTTCATAGCAGAGGAAGATACCAGGAGCAAGGGTGAAGGAGCAAGCCTCTTTTCCTCCTTTATGCTGTATTCAAGCTATCTGACCGAAGGCAGGTGTAGCGTCCAATCCCAACACTAAACAATAAACCAGTCATGAACTTTAGATTCAATCTTGGAAAAGCCCACCTTCCTTAACTGCATGAGGCTTTGAGGAGACATCCAGACACAAATCATACCATTTTGTTTCTGTCCCCCCAAAGACTCATGTGTATCCTTTTATGAAAAAGGCATTTAGTTAATCTCTAAGAGTTGCCACAGTCCCAGCAGTTCTACATTGCTGAAAAGTTCAAGTCCTAAACTCATAGCTGCAAGACTTGTACAAATGAAAAGGTTAAACACTTCCAACATTCAATGGCAGAAGATGCACATTTCCATTCCAAAAGTTACAAACAGGATTTTACAAAGGATTAGGACCAAAGCAGTCCAAAATCTAGCAGGGCAAAAGTCCTGTAGTACCACCTACAGCATATGAGGCAGTGTGTAGCAAGTTGAGAACTCCAAAGGGCTTGGTTGCTGTCACTATGGCACTTCTGGTGGTTACAGCTCCCATGGCTTATCTCTTAGGATTCCTCCTTGTAGTTTTCCTCAGATGATCCATGTTCCTGGCTTCTCCAAACTTCTGGGGTCTCCACTGTACCTTTGGCTTCACATACACAGCCTTTGTACACTGCTCTCTCAGGGCTTACTGCCTAGCCTCTCAGGCCTTTTTCTGAAATCTGGGTTGAACCCTTTTTAACTCCATACCTCTTTCATTCTATGTGCACCTAAAGCCAATGCCATGTGCCATGTGGATGATGCCAAGGTCTGCTGTCAGTTGAAACAGCACCACAATTCCTTCTTTACTATAGGGGTCAAGTGTCAGGATCAATGAGCACTTTGAATCCAGTTCTAAGGAGCAAATCTCTAGGCTGTCACTGTTGTGACACATGGTTTGGCTGCCACTATTCTTAAACATGGTGCTCTGTGGCTTCTCAAGGCAAATTCTTTCACTTTTGCAGTTTTGGAGGCAGCAGTGGGTGGAGACTTGCTGTCTCTGGTGATGTCCTCAGGCCATCTTTTGTATTGTTTTGTTCCTTCTCAGCAGTGGAGATTTCCTCAACTCTATATTACACAGCTTTACTAAAACTTCATTTCTGCCCAACTCACAACATTTTAAATCATTCTGCTGGCCTCTTTGCTTGATGTGCAACATAAATCTGGCTAAAAGTTCCCAAAAATAGTGATGCTACAGCCTCAACATTTGATTGCCTTGAAATTTCTTATGCCAGATTAATTAGTCCACTGCCCTCAATCTGAGTCTCCGGCAAAGTAGCCAGACATCAGCAAAATGCAGACATACTTTCTCCCAAGCCATACCACATATCATCTAGAATGCAACAGTCAATGTACTTCTTCTGTTGACAACTTCCTGAGCCTGGTCAATAGTGGCAGGATTTTTGTCAGCCTTCTGATCTCTAAACTCTGGGCAGAATCTCTCACACAGAACAGCCTAAGGTGTTCCAACTCTACTCTTTCAGGCAACATCTCCAAGCCTTTCTAAACTCCTCACCTGAGTCATTCCCAAAGGCTCCTGAACTATGTGATTAGGTATAGTCACAGCAACAACCCCACTTCTTTGGTACCAGATTCTGTCCTAGTTACTTTTTTCTCATTGCTCAAACAAAATATCTGATATCCAAAGTTAGAGAAGGAAAGGTTTATTTAGTTCACTTCTGCAGAGGTTCAGTC